TACGCCAATTGCCCACACTGAGGCAAAATTTCAAGGGAATCCTATAAACAGCCTCCGAAATCTCGCTGCACTAAAACCCCATACCCCTAAAAATATCGCGTTTTAGAGAAAACGCAAAAAAGCGCAACACAAAAAAAGTGCGTTCGCATTGTTGTTACTTTTTTACAACCGCAGACAGATCAATGTAGTGTTCGTCTTTTTCAGTATCTACCACTGCGCTATACAGATCACCCAGATTGGTATTGAACTATGTAAAATGAAATAAGGATACAGTTTGAAATGATGAGATAATATCATTTATTTCTAGAGAACAGCAAAAGGAAAGGGGAACAAAGTTATCCCAAAGCTTGAAACAGGGCAATCATAGTCATACTTTATTCAGAATAGTAAAGCGGTAAAAGAAACACTTCTAAACACTGAAGTGCATTTCTGAACAGGTGGGATTTTCAGGATAAAATTTATGAAAGTTGTTATGTGTATTTTTTTCTTCCTAAAATATAATTATTTAATCTTCCACACAAAAGTAACCGGCTTTGACTCTAGACAGTGGCATCACTGAAATCAAACAAGAAGCTTCACTTCTGTTAGCTGAGGTAGATGACTGGTAACATACCCGGTAATCCCGACAGTTTAAACTTAAAATCCGATTCAGGTCCGATCACTTGTGCATAATTGGTATTGATTAGCAAAGCATTTTGCATTGCAAGCTGAAGACGCGAGTTCGATTCCGTATCAGAAAGATGATTTCATCGAGTATCTCCGCACTTACTGTGACTTTTGGGACGAAAGAGCGTCCTAAAGTCTCGACAACGGTGATAAATAGGATGTCCAGCAGACAAGCATGGTCTATCATATTTTTGATAATAGCTCGATTTTTGTGAATAGTCTGTCTGTATGTTGCATTTTGGACGTTTACTCATTGTTGACATGGTGAGGAACACATAGGTTGTGGAATAAAAACAGTACCTTTTGCTAGTCAAGAATAGTGCATATAACGAGCTGCATTAAAATATATATAATTACAAGAATGTAAAAGAATCTGGATTGTTAACAAGAAAAAGAGAAACAGTGAACCTCGCGTTGAATGCAGCGAATCTGTAGATCCAACGTCCAAGAGTTTCGGCCCTCAAAGCATTTCAGAAGCCTGTGCCAAGCTACCATGGCAAATCCTGGCTTGTCTTGGGATCCTTTTGACTTCTTGAATCAAAAGCTCTTTACATTTTATAAACAGATACTTTCCGAAGTTTTGGCCCAAATTTACCACCACCTAAGTTTAGCATTCAACACTGGTGAACATGTCTACCATCAGCTATATTTGGTTCCCGAACTTGATCAGTATTTTATGGAAATAGGTAAAATCGTCCAGTAACACATACCGAGATAACACCGAATCTCTCTCTCTCTCTCTCTCTCTCTCTCTCTCTCTCTC